AGAAGATGGGAAGGGTCTCAGAATGATAACAACTCCACCAACTAAGCCAAATGGATCAATGTGATCCAAAGCACGTTTTCATATTTCTCAATGCACAACATGAACACAATGTATGACCACTGTTGAAGGGGCAGGAAAGAATTTTAGAAGTCATGGTCTGTGTGCTTTCCCTTGCTGCACAGAACTGGAACAAATATTGTTATTTAGTAATGTAGTGGTTTTGAAAAGGGCTGTCCAGGTGAGAATCACTGCTATTAAAATCATTTGAATATTTTTCCAAATAATCAATATTTATTTATTTTAATATCTCTAAAATGATATCAGGGAGTAGATTTACCATCCAGAAGCTAAAGTCTTCTAGGCAAATTCTTTGGTGATATAAATTCAGGCAAGTCTTAACTAAATACTTACTGTGTCTTAATTCATTAATAGTTAGAATGAGGCTTCTCACAGGCAGCTATTGAAGGACTGTAAAGGTTTACAAGCTAGCTTGTAAATGTCTATGAATTCAAGAGATGCCATGCACAACTTGTTTTTTCATGGTAGATAGCTGTGATCAATCTAAGAAATAATTGTCCATGGCCCAATAATTAGCAGACTAGCAGTATGAGTACATTCATGTTTTATATACCTTGTTATATCCATTGTGTAAACCAAATATTTTTTATTTATAAGTTCTTAACACACTCTAGTTTTTGGTTCCTATAGCAGTGCAAGGATTTGTAGGATCCTGAATAGTGTAAATAGCACTTCTGTGTGGTGAGGATCCTAAGCTATACTTACCAAGAATCAGATGGTGTGTATGTGTGTGTGTAAATATAGATTCAGGTTCATATAATAGACTAAACCAAATGTTTTAGGGAGCTTGGGGTGCCAGAACTCATTTCTTCTTTGCTTGGCCAACTTTTGTAGGGTTGAAGTACGGTTTGTCAAATGTCTGATGCATTGTACCTACAAGTTGCGGAAGCCTAGAGTGGATTTCTGTTTGCACAGAGATGAGGACTCGCAATACAGTACAGTATCGTAGGAGTCCAGTAGTAGAAACTGGTGGCATACACATCTGGAGCCAGGTCTGCTATTTGTGCCATATCTTCACAGAGAAGCCTGAAATGTGGTCTTGCAGGGATTCAGACCGGGGTACTTCAAATTAATTATTGACAAAGGGCAATATGTTTCCTAGCCCGAATGAACTAACATATTTCATAGGTTGAGCAGGTCAACAGAGTTTGTGGCCTCTCTGATGTTGTTGAGCTACATTATTCAATATCCTTGTCAGCTGGTGAGGTCATAACGCTGCAGAATTTAAAAACTATGCAAAGCATTTGTATTAGGTCAATAAGCATAATTGTGTTCACTGAGTAAACCACAGCTGGCTGGGTTTGTACAATAAGTAACACCAAGTCAAATCAAGCAAGGGCATTTTGTGCCATTGCTTGACATGTGAACCAAGTCAGTGAGTGTATAATATAAAATCTTTCATCTTTTTGGTGCCTAGTTTAGTGTGTTTTCACAGATTTTGAAGCAGTGGTCTGAGCTACTTTTACTCTGGTACTGCCTCTCTCATTTCAGTATTTGGAAGATGCTATTGATTGTAAACTGAGCTGACAGTACATTGCAAAAGGAAAAGCTATATATTTTTAGAACAGAGTAGATTCTGGGTAAATGGATGCAGCCTCTACATTATCAGGATTAATTCCAAAATATTATTATAGAAAAAGATTGAAAGTTAATGTCATTACTATCTCATCTTCACAGTCTTGGCTATCTGCTTGCACTGAATGTAATAATAGACTCATTACTTATTGTGTGATTTGTATTGAATTTCTGGAGTCCTCTGTTATTCTTATCATCTTTTATTGAAATTCATTAGGGTAGACCATGTTATCAGAATATATTGGTGAAATATGGTTTGTGATTAAGTGGGAGACTAGCTTTGGAAACACAGCCTTAATTTAGAATGATGTCTGAACTGAAACAGTTTTAGAGGTTAGCATTGTTATACTTTTGCAGCAAAACCAACCTGGAGTTGAGGACCTTCAAACTAACACATCTTTTATTATATCATACTTATTGGAACCATCTTCCTGGATTCATAACATTTCTCAGAATGGGTTTCCTTTCCTTTTCTGGTTAATGATGAACTAGAACTTATGATGGCATCAGAATTACTGCAAGCTATAGTTCTGTTCTCAATCTAACACTAAATTTTGAATGCTCTAATACTGAACTGATTTTTTAACCTTAGTTAAAAGCAGACCTGCAGTTTGCAATGTTTGAGATTATCCTAGCTCTGAAGAGAACATAGTTTTTTCCCCCAGTAGCTGAACTGTAGCTTATGATTAGATAAAGGATTGATTTTATACAGTTTATGAGAAAATAATATATATATTCAAAATCAAATTAGATATATATTTTTCCTTGGATTGCTAATTCTATGTAGGTGTTCTTGACTTCTTGATCTGACTGATGCTCAGTCTTGGTAAGCTCATCCTGAAAATACAATTCTTTGATTGCATTATAGAGGATCAGTTTTAGATATCATGTATTTGGACATCATGTAAAAGTTTCCAGATCTTGACTGTGAAAATTTGGAGAGCTCTGAGAGAAAGTAGGTGTATGAGTGTTGAATTTACAAATATCTAGTCGTTGTCCACATTTTTGCAGCCCTGATTTGGTAGCCTGAATAGAAACTATAATGAAGTATGTATTGCATTAAAGATAGTCAAGTGGAGGAACTAAGATTTTAGACAAAGAAATTTATGGACAAGAATACTTTACTACTATAGCTACAGTTATTATTGGAAGAGAATGTTTCTGGTTTAGGATATTTGAACTGTGGGGTCCTTGGTTCTCTGAACTTAGTTGTTTTCTTGCAGATGTTTCTTTCATTATTCAACTAGATAACATCAGTGCTAGAAAGGGGTCGAATTTGCTCTCTAGTGGCTTTTCCTGTCAAAGTGGTTCCTTGAATAAGTGGTTGTTTTCTGTTAGCTTATTGTATGAGTTGATAGTTCCTCAATCAGGGTATTGTTTACTGCTTGATTGTTGAGCTGGTATTAATCTGGGTGTTAATCTAGGTGTTGATTGTTGTTGAGGAGGTATTTTAGTCTTTTTGTTTCCTTTTTGGCTTATGTTTGTCCCTTTTGAATGATATGTATATGTTGTTTACCTGTGTGTGATTATTGCAGGCTGATTTGTCTGAGGAAGGAACATTTGCAAAAAACAACAAAGCTCAGAGAGCACCAAGGACCTCCACAATTATTATTGCTGCTCCTGTTGCTATTATTATTTGAGCAAATGGTTTCTACTAATATCCTGATTTTGACTTCACTTTGATTTAAATACTTTTTGAAGAATTTGCTTGAATGTTTATTTCAGTGCTATTGTACTGTACATACTCAGGAATTGTATTTTAAAATATAGTATCCTTTGAAGAAAGCCAGACAGTTTCCCTTAAAAATATGGCTTTCATAATTACAAATACATTTATCAGGTTTCGTATAAATGTAAGTTTTTGATTTCAGTCACAGTATTAGGAACCTGGAAGTCAGTACTGTATAAGTTTCTCCAAATGCAGAAAGGGGACCTCAGTTCTGGAGTGTAACCATACAATTTTTTTTCCCTAAATGTTCTTTTTGAGTCAAATGCAACATTTCTAGCATCAGCTTCTGAAGACACATCAACTTTGTCATTGTTTTTATCATCTGATATTCCATGAATATTTTCTGTAATCTTAATTTTCTGGCTCCAAACTCTATCAAAAGTCTTTTGGGACATTGAAAATGAGAAAAGCAAATTAGAGGGGAGGTTGCAGATCTCCCAGTAATTCTACTTTAAAGTAACAAGTAGAATTTAAACTCTTCCCACAAGTATTTGTTTCTGAAGTTCTAACTTGAAGCCACTTTGTGATCCTGAACACTCAGTAATGAGGGGTGTGGTTTTTACTGGAGGATAAGAGTCTGCCATAAATACCCCTACATCCATATATTGATACCAAGTACCCCAAATGTGGTTTCTGGGAGAGGAACTGCTAGGTTGGGATTACTTCTTTTTTTTTGGGGGGGGGGGGAGCTGCCTTGTATCTTCCTTGAGTATTGTCTTGATCACTTTCACAAATGTCCAAATAGAGTGAAATGAACTTAATTTGTAGTAAGACATTACCTGTACATTCAAAACAGAATATTGCTTTCAGGTTCCGGTACAGCATGAGGAAAATCCAAAAGAACATAGTTCTAGATTGTAATGTTTTATCTCCCTCACGAATGCCAGCATAAACGGATGTTCATCAACTGAAATACAAAGTCAGGATTAACCACCCAGTTCCTGCCCCACTGTTTAAATAGTTCCCTAGCCCCGCCCAGCCACCCACGTGCACACCCCACCCTTCCCTTCAAGAAGCCGGGTCATGCGACATTAAGCAGGGAAGCCAGCAGAGTCCAAGTGCCCCCCACACTTAGCAAGCATGCGCCTAGGCGTCCACCCCCATTTCATCTGTGTGGCTGCCTCACAGCTGTTTGGCGACGATGTCAGCAGCAGCAACAGATTGGGTGGGTTTTGCTTGTCCTTGTCCATCCATCCAGCAGTCTGGTGTGGGCCTAGTGGTCCGCTGGGTGTAGTCTGCAGTGGGCGTGTCACTCTCGGGTCCCTGTGGGAAAGGCAGTCCCGGTTTCTCCGTTCCCCTCTGGAATGGCAGCCCAGGGCTGACAATTGCTTTTTAAAAATTGTCCCTACCCTCCAGTTGTGAGCACTGAGAAATCAGAACTTACTATGATTATTAAGAGTAAAGGTTCACCTGTTTTTGAAGCACTTTTAAACTTATAGGGAGCCCATTAGAATGTATTTCAGTTGGTTCAAGTTTTACATATGTCATTCTTGGTTCAGCATAGTTTGGGTTTATTATAAGATGAACATAGGGGGATGTACTTGGGGAATCTCTTGAAATTCTCACTAATCTTACTTCTTGCTTTTTTTCTCTCTCTCTCTCTCATTTTTTATTGCAGTTCCTGGGCATAGCATTTCTTGGAATTGGACTTTGGGCATGGAATGAAAAAGTAAGTTAACAACAGAAATCTGTACAGCCAAATAAATTCAAATATGTCTCCTAATATGTATATCCTACCTTTCCTGTAGGAAAGGTAGGATATACATCTAATAAAAATAAATAAATCTAACAAATAAATTATGTAAAATAATAGTGTGTTCTAAGCAAATCAGTGATAAAAATAAATAACATTATAAATATACTGTACAAAAATGAAAGATGCCAAGGATTCAGTTCTAGAAAACCACAATTGGCTGTTCCATAAAATAAGTAAATCACAGGAAAAATATGGTTTTCTGGCTTCAGCCCTCATCATGTCAGAAAAATGGGGGGGTTACCTGTAGCTTAACCCAAGAGAATTGCCTTGGACAGGTTGACTCAGGCTCAAGGAGCCAGTCCTGTTGATAGCATACTTTTAAAATCAAAACTGGCACCTTGAATTGCTTCCAGAAATACATTGTGCAATATACTTTTAAAGTGTTAATATAGATGAAAGAACTGGTTAAAATAGACAGAGTCTTGGAGTGATTCTGCCCTGTTTGAGAAAACAGGGAGTGTCTTCAAAACGATGGTTGTTATGACTTGTTTTTCTACTGTTAAAAAAATGCCATGTATTTATCTTTACACTTATTTTGACAGTTTTCAGACTTAGATAATTAAAAGCTGGCTGCCTTTTTTTCTGTAAATGAGATGACAGTCTTAGATTTAAATGAGAAAATGAAGTTTAAAAGAGACATATTAAAGAATGGGAAGAGCCTAGTTGTGTCCTAAGAAATTAAGAATTGCAGGGAGCTGTTAGAATTATATGTATCATTAAAATCCCTCTCTTGCAATTTGGAAGAGTTCCATTCAGGAATTATTTATTATGTAATTAATTGTTTATATATGTTAGCTTGTATTAGGTTTGAAAGATTGCTTGGTTTAAATTTAGAGGGAGATAGGGCTGTTTATCAGATATTGCATATCCTGGTTCTCTTCTGGTGTGTGTAGTGTAATATTAAGAGAGAGAAAAATATTCCTTCTTTCATGTTATGGAAGTCTGGTTTGAAAGGATACACTTTTATTTTTCAGTATTTCAGAAGATTAATATTTTACTGAGATTTAGTAATGTGTATGGACATACTTGGATGTAATTAGCAGATAAAAGGGTAGACTGAACATCTAAAAATTAGCCTTGCTGCACCATTCTTAGTTTCTCTCCTCCATTATTGCTTTTCTAACCTTTCAACAAACCATTTGGGCAGAATGTCATTTGTGCTAAATGACACGTCGTGACTTTTTCACAAAGGATATGGCTGTGGGCCTGATTGCATTGGTAGACTAATAAATGTCAACACAGAAAGAATTCACAGGAAATAATCAGAATGTTTGTACAGAATGTTATTAATCTCTCCTTGGACACAAATGCCAAATGCTAGTGTGGCTCCTTCATACTTTCCTTGAAAGGGAAGGGGGAGTGACAGTAAAAACCCGGATACATCTGTGATATATTTTTATTCCTTGTTTTCCCATTCTCTCACCTCTTCTTCCCTTTCATTCACTGCCAAAGGGAGTGCTGTCCAACATCTCTTCCATTACTGACCTGGGTGGATTTGATCCAGTTTGGCTCTTCCTTGTGGTTGGAGGAGTGATGTTCATACTGGGCTTTGCAGGATGCATCGGTGCTCTGCGGGAGAATACTTTTCTTCTCAAGTTTGTAAGTAACTGTACCAAATTCCTTCTTAAAGAATAAGCATTTTTCCCTGTACAAATATGTATCATTTTAGCTCTTTTAAAAATTTACTTCAAGCTTTTTTGGAAATGCTTGTCTTTAAAAAAAAAATACACCTTAAAGTCCAGTTCAGGTGTTCAACTTAAATGGGAAGTTTAAACATAAGTAAAATAATGGGATGATCTTGTCTCACTAGTGCATTAATGCTGAGTGGAATTTCTAATAAATTCTTCTTTAAATGGAACCACTGATAATTCTTTCTTTAAACCTTACTATTTAACTTTCATTTCAAGTAATATATTGTTATAAGAAGTGACATACAAACAACCATGAATAAATAAATATTGTGACACGCTGAGGCACTGAGAAGATAGAACCTTTGCCTATATTTCCAATTAATTTATGTGTGTTCTGTTCATACTTTTGTGTTTACAATCTTGAGTCTTGGAATGTTTCAGCATCCATTCTGGGATGTAAATATTTATTTTAATCATTGGTGGCGTTCTTTGACAATTACAGGAAGTAAAAATTTGATAGATAACTTAAAAAGCAATAACAACTTATCGGCAGCAGAAAGGTCTCAGTCTGGCTCATATCAACCAGTTGGTCAAACCATTAGGTGGATTGGTTAGTTTTCTGTCATTAATTTGCTGCAGGACATTAGCAGTCCATTTTCCTGCTAATCATGTTGTCATTTGAAAAGCATGTCTGGTTCCCTGCAATATCAAAGGCTGCAGTTGGCCACTGATAGGAATGATAATTACCTAACAGTTGGGTTGGCAATATATAAACCAGGATAGACATTTAATACTGTTGTATCTTTAAGAGAGTGCTGTAATTGTGACTGGCTGAGGTTCCTCTGATGGCCATAAGATGGAGCCAGAAACCTGGTTTGTTCTCTTCTTACATTTCCCTATTGCTGTATTGCCTGATCGTTGTTCTGCTCAGATTGCTGTGAGTTTTGCAAACTGTTAGCAAACTCCATTTACTGAACTTTGTTTATGATACTGGACTTCGTTTTTGGATTATCCCTGGGCTGATTGTATTGAATACTACCTGCTTTAACCGTGTATGATTTGGACTGTTTGCTGGACTTTGTTTACCCATTTACAGGAAGTAAAACCTACATTTTACTATTCAGTGTATCTGTATGCTGGTTGTGTGTTATTCCTCACCAATCTCACTACGTTTCCCTGAGTACACTCATTCTCCTAACGGGAATACCCCAACAGCCACTCATGGCTGTTCTGGGAATTATAGAGTCCACAAGTCTTAAAGTGGCCAAGGTTGGAGACCCCTGGTTCAGATGAATATATTGCTGCAAAACAGGCTTATTGGTCATTGGTTGCTTGAAAACTTGGATATTCCAAAGGGAATTAGACAGTGGTGGTATGCTACTGGTTTGGCCTGGTTTGGCCGAACTGGTAGTAAAAAAAAAAAAAAAAAGCTTCCCACGGTCAGCTGAGAAGAGGATTAGCTGAGAGGAGAAAGAAGAGAAAAGCGCAGGATCGGCCCTTCCACACGCCCCTGCGCTTTTCTCTCCTTTATCCTCTCAGCTGATTGGCACTGCAGGCCTCAGCTGGTGTGGGGAAAGCTGCGTGCATGCGTTAGACATGCATGCATTAGGTGCAAGTCCACACACTCATGATCACTGAACAGGTGATCACTAAACAGGTAGTGGAACAGGTAGGATCCCACTGCTGGAATTAAATATGGAACTGTTTGAAAATGTTATCTTTCTGCTATAATACATGTGTAATTTATTATTCCTCTGATATGGTTTTTGCTGTGATTGTTTCAAGAGGCTGGCAAAAACAACAAACCATAGACACACATACTTTAAGCACAACTGAAAGTGTTGTATTTAAAGTATGTGTACGGTTTGTTGTTTTTGCCAGCCCTACGGCGAATGGTGAGCTGTAAAATGAGTAAAAATAGCTGTAATGTTATCAGTTTTTATCCATGTGATTCTTTGGTATTACATTAGTTCTGAAGATTTTATTGAAGCCAATAAATTCTTTTACTTCTTTGCAGTTCTCAGTCTTCCTTGGAATAATCTTCTTCCTGGAACTCACAGCGGGTGTTCTGGCATTTGTTTTCAAAGACTGGATCAAAGACCAGCTGTATTTCTTTATCAACAACAATATCCGAGCATACAGAGATGACATTGATTTGCAAAATCTCATAGACTTTACCCAAGAATATGTAAGAGCTCCTTCTTTCTTTAACATCTGACTGTGGAACCTACACAGCCTACTAGGTGTGGTGGAATCCTAACAATCCCCAGCATCCATCATTTTTGTTCATTTAGATAGGAATGACTAGCAATTGCAATTTTACAACATCTGGTGGGCCATTTATAATGCTGCCCTTAGTTGTTTGGATACTAAGATGAGTGGCATATAAGTTTGATAAATAAAAATATTAATTAATTAAATATATAACCAGTGAACACAGACCTGCCAATTCTGGTATAAGGGAAAATATCCCACTTTGACTGTGACCCTTGCTATACATCTGTAGCCAGTGGCAACATTAACCTTGGTTTATTTCAGAAGGCAAAGAAAGTAATATAGTAGTTGTGTGAAGTATCCTCAGTAAATACAGAGTTGTAGTTTAAAATACAGGCTATGCTTAGAAGAAGGCAATGACCATATTTGTTGCTAAGAAAAGTATCTGAAACTAACTATGAAGCCACTACAAGTCAAGCACAGCTTGACTTACGAAGTTTTCCCCACTGTACTGTAATAATATCACTAATGTAAAAATCATCAGTACTTACTGAGAAATATTTTGCAAATTTCACAGCAAATTGATTTCCCTGGTTTTTCTTATAATTGGGCAACATTTTGAACAATCTTATGGCCATAGCTTTTGTGTTCAGCTAGAGATAGAAGGTATAAGCCTGGAAAATAAGCTGAATCATCCAATATTCAGTAATAAAAAAATCTGTTTTGGATAAGTGAACTGATATAGCTGTTTTGCTGCTTTGACTGAGTTAATCTTTTTCTCCCTGAAGAAGCTTGAACAAGATGTGTCATTGAATGGTGCAGGAGTATGAAGGGATTTCCAGAAAAGTTTGAACAAGCTTTTCTAATATGCACAGCAAAGGTGATTTGGGGGGGATCCTGTCTGAAGTCTTATTTCAAGCCTGTGGCCCGTAAAATCAGCGCCACATGCAGGTTGCATTAAATAACTTGACTCCACATTTTAATTATTCTCTCTAAATTGCACATTGGTAATGTGCGATGCTTTGCCACAAAGGGCAGTAGATTTTCTCTATTTTCCAAAAGATTTGGTTAAAGAAAAGCACTCATTAAGGGAGGGAAAAATCCTATCTGTTTGGAGCATTGTAGGAAATGGAGTGTCTTGGGGGCTTTTTGCCATACCTAGTTTTAGCAGAACTAGTTAAGACTTGAAAACTTTTGCACGCATTTTCAGTACAAAATAAATTCATAGAGTAATTTGGAATGGTAGCTTAGAAGAATAGCCGTGCCTGGCCCGCGTTGCCAAAACTGTATGTCTCTTGTCTTTTCCCCACTCCTAGTGGCAGTGCTGTGGGGCCTTTGGGGCTGATGATTGGAACCTCAACATTTACTTCAACTGCACAGATTCCAATGCTAGTCGAGAACGATGTGGAGTACCTTTCTCTTGCTGCACTAAAGATCCTGCTGTAAGTCAAAACAGAACAGAAGCCTTAAGGTATCATTAAGGTTTTTTTGGGCAGTGCTGTGGCAGACAAACATTCTGGAATGGAGAAGGAAGTGTGGTTTTTATTATGATATCTATTAAAAAGTTAATTTTGAATGCCTAGTTTTCATATTTAAGCCCATGAAAAATGTATCTAGATGGCAAGAATCATTTTTATCTATATATTTGAACTTCTGTATGGGATTCACTTACCAATGGCAACTGGGATTGTTGCAACTACCATCATAAGTTGGCATGGTTATATGAAATCATGCTTTAAAATGGTGATGCTAAGTGACAGAGTTTCTAGTTCCAATTAGGAGTAACTAGGCAAGGTCATGAGTTGGAGTTAGACTTTTTGTTCAGTTAAAGGAGACATTTATTGGAAGTTGTTTCTGTGTCTTTATTTTTAGGAAGATGTCATTAATACTCAGTGTGGTTATGATGCCCGACAAAAACCAGTAAGTTTTCAAAACTTCTTTTTGGAGAGGGAATGGTAAAGAAGTGGTTGAAAAATGTTCAATGTTTTTTATTATTGTTCTTGCAGGAAGTTGATCAACAGATTGTTATTTACACAAAAGGTTGCGTCCCACAGTTTGAAAAATGGCTGCAGGATAACTTAACCATAGTGGCCGGCATATTCATTGGAATTGCATTATTACAGGTGACCTGTTCTTTTGAAAAACTGCAGAGAATAATCCATACTCAAGAAAGACCCCACAGAGTGAAATGAAAATTTAATCTCGGTGTATAGAGTAATTGATTTATTAATTTTTGAAAAAAAGAAAGTGCATTTGGGTCTCATTGATTTCAGTCTTGTAGTAAACTTGGATAATGCAGAATAAATTATGAACATTTTGCTGCAAATTATGATGGAACTGATGCTGCTTGCTTTTGGCTCACTCAAACCTAGTGGGGCTGTTCCTCTAGTAGACTTCCAAAGCAAACTGAAAGACCAGTTAGGTGTAAGTAGTCTCAACTTGGTACCCTATTTTTTATTATAGCAATAGGAAAATCTTTTGCTCCAGGTATTTGGAATGTTCTTTAAACCCTGTGCGGTTGAAATTTAATCTCCTTTCTTAAAATATAACTTTAAACTTAATTTTAAAAACTTATCACCTACATCTGCATTTTAAAAGCTCCTGTTCCCAGGACAATTCGGATATAGTGTACATCTCTCTCCCATATTGTCCCCTCCCTCCAAGTACTTAATACTTCACAGTAAATATGATTGTATTTGTGTAGTACACTCAATTGCAAAGTGGCCAGCTGTACAATATTTGAGGCCAGCATGCTGTGTATACTCAGCCACTATAGTTAATTTGTGGCCCAGTATGTCTGTGTCCCAGAAAGCCTGAGTGAAACATGCTTAACAAGGGAAAACCATTTCAACTTTAATGTGTAGATGGTACCCATCGTGTTAAATTTTGTGGGCGCAGTCTGGCTAACTCTAATTTCTGCATATGAAAATCAATTCCAGCTTAACATGTGCATTTTTTTTTCTTCCAGATATTTGGCATATGCTTGGCTCAAAATTTGGTTAGTGATATTGAAGCTGTCCGAGCCAGCTGGTAAAACTCTTCAATGTAAGCCACACAAGACCTTGTGGGTTACCACAGTTCTCAGAAGGCTCCATGTGGTCCACATGGACTCAAAGCTATGTGAAAATGAGGAACAGAGAAGTTTTAAGTTCTCAGCTGATTAGAACAGCATTTTATCTTTGTTGATTTCAGAATGAGCAGCTCCAGCCACTTAGTTGTGATGAATGCTATTAAAACAGCCAGTCGAAAATGTACTGAGCCATGAATCTCTACTGTATCCTTGACTGAGTAAACTGGAGGATATTTCTTCCGTGTCTTGTGTGTTGTGTGTGTGTGGCAAGTGGTCTGTGTCAATGGAACCTCAGTAGATGCATCCTTATGTTTTCTGTGTTGCAGCAGACCCTCAATGAGGCAATTTCCTTTTGCCATTAAAGAAGTGACCAAGAGACCTAATGTTTCTTTGGGAAGAAATCCCAGAAAGAGGCAACTATTTATCTACTTCTCATATGCTTTGTTTTCTGGCAAAAAAAAAAATCATCACTCTTCCACAGGAAATTCAGTATCAGTTCTATTACGTCCTCTGTCAAATAACAACAGCTTTAATTATTTTCCAACCTCTGGCAATCTTTATTTCATTGGACACTTGGAACTGTGGAATCAGCAAACTTCAGGAAAGACCTAAAATAGAGATAATTCTCCATCTGCATTAGTCGCTAGCAATATGTAAATGAAGAAGAGATGAAGGTATTCATGCTGGGTGGTTTGATGATGAGATTGAGAAATGCGATGAACTTAGAAGCAGAAACACAAGCACAGTGTATTCAGTTTCATGGATAAAATGAATTTTAAAGAAACATCTGTTTGGAAGTTTCTGATGTCTTCATGTAGAAGAGCAAATGCTTTTTGTCACATTATAACCCTTTCTAAGTATATCTTCTTATGCCCTCTTCATCGATTTGGTGTACACTTTTTAAAATTGCTACTCCTTTTTGATTCGCTCAGTTTGAGTGGGCTTCCAATTCAAACAAATGTGAATGAAATGCTGACCAATTTTCATTCCTTGGTTTGTGTTTTGTGCTGGCTTCATTACCACTTAGTTGCCACTGCGTTTCCTTTGTGTCTAGTTAAAGTAGAAACCTTAATGAAATATGTATCTCATTTTTCAAGCAGGAGCAACATTTGTACAGCAATACTGTGCGTGCTTGTGTATTTCATTTTGAGTCACTTTCAGTAAATGTATGATCATCTAGGTTTTTTGTCTGGGGTGTTCAACCTTGGCAATGTCACAAGTTGTGGACTTCAACTCCCAGAGTTCCTAGCTACCACTGACTGGAATTCTGAGAGTTGAAGTCCACAAGGTTTATAATTGCCCATGTTGGACACCCCTGTTTTAGGTTTTGTGTACATTAAGTACCAGCAGGAAAAAAAAATTATGATGCCTCTGTGAAAAACAAACAGAATTTGGCTATCAAGGATATGAATTTGGGCTTAGTCCCACTCTTTTTTCAGGGTTGGCAGGAGAGATGACAATCCTTTCAAATTCGGCAGTGACTGAAAATTATTGTTAAGTGAAGTAGAACATGGAAAGGATAAATATTTGGGTTCTACTCGTGTGCAATAGCTATTTTAGAAACACTAACTTCCCCAACCTGGTGTCACCAGAAGTATTAGGGATACAACTCCCAAGAATTCATAGCTAGCATTGATAGGCACCAAGTGGGGGAATGTTGCCCTAATTTGAAAAGGAAAACAAGTAAATACATGAATGTCTTATTCAACTCTCTTGAGTTTTGTACACAGAGCTAAACGTTCTAACTGCACCTGGTATTACTTCACATAACCTTTTGTCTAGGTAACTGAGTTCTGATCAGGCTCCTTAAATGGGTAACTGGGGTACATTTAACCATGCAGAGCTCTGCAAGTTATATTTGTGTCAGTCTCATTCAGTGAATAAATTCTCTTAGTTTTTTATTAGTGAATTGCTTAAGTGAAAGAAACCAGCAATGCGGAATAAAACATACAGTGGATGAAAATTTAATGAATTCTTATGAATCTCTAGTACTTGAATAGCTTAGTTGTAGTACATTCCAGAAACCAAACGTGAAAGATGCTGATGTAAGATGTACTGAATAAACATTCCTTCTTTTTTGCTGCTCTTGTACATTTCTGGAAAATTTCCATGTTTCTGTTTAGGTATAATAACGCTATAGATGTTTAACTTGTTTTCAGTTTTCTTTTCCTATTACTTTTTTTCTTCCATTACCAAGCTGTTTTATAACTGACAGATGGTAGACCATAGTGCTAAAGCTTCTTATTAATTAAACAAAGTTATGTGGTTAGGCATATCATTCTATCTTTTGGTAAAAGATATTGAAATATCTTACTGATTGTACAGCATTAAGAGGTTGTCTTCTTGGTCCCAGTGGTGAATAAGCTTAATAACATTTTTATATATAGAGAAAAATGGCAATCATTTTGTTTGCATACAAAACATGTTTATTTCTTGGAGTCCTGCAGGAAATCAGGAACTCTTATTTTTTTAAAATAGTTCCCTCCTTATTTTGTCTTGGTCGTGTCCCTTGGTGCAAATAGATAATGTAATTTTAATTATCGGGTATGTAGTTGCCTTCTATTAGCCTGTGCATGATTAAAATTCACATATTTCTTCCAGAATCCCACATTTGTTTTCAAAACAAGGGTGAGCTTGAAAGAGCTTTCAAATAACTTTCTCATAGCAAATGCTCATTCCCAAAGGTAACGCAAAAAATTGTGGACATAGAAACAAATTATTATGATCTTACCAAAAATGTCCAGAGCTGGAAATGACCCCGTTTCAAGCATGAAACATCCTGTCTAAGCAAATTTCTTTTAGCTTAAAATATTTTGAATTAGAAATGTTTTACACACTTCTAATACCCACAGTTAAACATTAATCTCTGAGATGTTCCATCTGGCAAATAGAATTTAATGAATAATAGGCCCTAACTAATGTAAAGCTACAGTCTTTGTATCATGGAAATTTTACAACTGTAAGGTGAAGTTTCTTGAAGTAATAAAATAGATGCCAATTATATGTCTACAGAGAGTACTGAAATAGTATAGGTAGTCCTCAAGATATGACATTAAGAAAGCCTGCCCATTACAATTGCATGTCTCGATGGTCGTTAGGTGAAACACCTCATCTAATAAACCCCCACCCCTGCTCTCCCTAATGAATTATTAAATGAACGTGTGAGTCGTTAAGTGGAGTGTGGGGTGCCTCCTGGATTTGGAGGCCTAGCACAGGCCTAGGCTCACCTGTTGTGGCCCTCACAAGGCCTCACCCCCAAGATGCCCCACTTCCCGTGCCTTGGATCCCAACAGGTCTTTTCTCATTCCCACTGAGTCTTCCCAGGCCGAAGGCCTTATCTACCCTGCCCCCTCCCCCCCAAAAAAACCCCAGATCAAATATCTTTCTCCTCACTTACCTTTTGAAGAACTACGAGGCCTTCCAGAGTAGAGATCTCCAATCTTGGCCACTTTAAGACTCGTGGACTTCAACTCCCAGAATTCCTCAGCCAACTTTGCTGGGAGTTGAAGTCCACAAGTCTTAAATTGGCCAAGGTTGGAGACCCTTGTTCCAGAGGACTGAAATGGCTGCCTTCTTTTGTATGGCCTTCTGGCACGGTTGTGAAAGCTGTTGACATTTTCTTCTACCCCTCCAAAATGGGAGCCACATTGGGATCTCCCCTGCAGGGTCCAGGGACAAACTGCTTCTTTTTGCTGCCTTAACAAGGCCTACGCAATGCTGGATAAGCTTTCTGCTGCATTCAGAAGCTTCTGCGGTGCAGACCTCTTTTAAGGCAGCGAAATGAAGCAATTTGTCTGGCAGCTGCCATTTTGTCCCCACCCACAAATGGACTGAAAGACAAAATGGCAGCCATATTTGGGGCACTACTGCATGGCCCAAAGACAAACTGTTTTGTTCTTCTGCCTTTAACAGGATCTGCAGTATGCTGTGGAAGCTTTATAAAGCGTTCAGAAGCTTCCACAGCATTGTGCTGATCTTGTTAAGGCAGCAAAATGAAGCAGTTTGTCTGGGGACGGCTGCCATTTTGACCCCGGCCACAATTTGGATTGCTGCCGTGTGGTCGGTTGTGTCTTCCTTTCACAACATGAGCTCTGGAGTTCTTCAGAAGGGTAAGTGTGCGGTATGTAGAGTAGGCCCAAGCACTGCAGGGTGGGATGGGAGGAGAGAGAGATGGAAGGGTGCTGCAGAGCCCCTTTGGTGGATCATTCAAGGTGAATTATTGCAGGGCTGCTATTACCACTATTACATTTGTGTTGGGAACATCAAAGCACAGGGCGGCTGCAATCCTTGTAAATTTGACATGGGGTCATGTGTAGCGTTTTGGAGGGGGGGGCGTCCTGTGGAAACTTTGAACATTTATTTAAATGAACGTTCTTTTAATTGGGCTCAACAATTGGATCTTTACTGTATTTTTATGTCTTTTAAATTTTGTATAGTTTTCATATTTTTTTTAAGATTGTAAGCTGCCCAAAGCTAAGATGGGGTGGCCAATAAAATTTACAAACAGACAGATAAGTGGCCTGTCGTACCTTGAGGACTACCTGTATTTTGTAGCTTTCTTTGCAAATTCATATTAAATGTCAAAAAGGAAAAAGCAGCACACATAATAAGCATGTTTGCTAGAAGGAATTTGCTGAGCTAGCCCCACAATAAAAGATGGTATATTGGTAAATTTGGGTTATAGTCTGATTTCTTAATTCAAATAAACTGGTCTCAGAAAGGACACAGTATAAAATAGTGAGTGATGGGGAAATCAACAAACTGGAATAAGGGCAACAACATTAAGGGCCATTAAGCCAGGTGTATCCAACCTTGGTAATGTTAAAAGACTTGTGGACTTTAATTCCCAGAATTTCCCAGCCAGCCTGGGATCTTAAAGTTGCCAAGGTTGGACACCCCTGCACTAAATACAGTAGATGTACACTATTCATGTTTTCAGGTGCCCCTTTTCCTCTCTGAAGGGATGAAGGGTTGTTTTTTTTTAAGAGCAAGAGAATTCACTATCAAAGGACAGAGAGTTTTCAGATGCTTATTAGAGTGGGGGGAAGGAATTTAGAGGAATTTCCAGCAAGCCAACTATCCAAATATTTGGGAACAAAAAATGCTTGAAGGCAGCAACTCTCCAGACTGAGCTTAGCAAGTTTTGGTATATGTCAGTTTGGATGTAAATGCTTAATGTTGAATATTAATGCTCAAATGTTAAGCAGTTAAAAGTTTGTAGCTGTTGTTTGTGTCTTTTCTTTCCACATTTTTAGAATTGTACTAAATAGTACTGTTGTTATTAACAAGAAGAGTCAAAAGAACCCTCCAAATGTATACCGGTACATGTCAAGGAAGTTTGTGCTTCGTGCTTGCCTAACAAATTGCACATGTTATAGATTATGTTTTAAAGAATTTGTGTATCAGAGTGTTTGCTTGCTGCTAGATCTCCCTACATATCACATTATGACATTTGTATAGTAGTGGCTTAGTCCTATGTTACAGGAACAAAGGCTTTGTAAATCTTTTTTTGTGAAAGATTGTTGACTATTTTGTTTTTTTTATTATTGGTCTAAGCTTTTGCTAAAGAAACGGCCGTGTCTAGAAACCGTCTTGTGTTGCCAAATCCAGCTTGGTTGAATGAAATGTTCTAACTCCTGTTTTATGTCTTCTGCTCTGAATCTCTGGAAATCCATTTGCTTTGTTTGTCATCATCTTCGAGCCAATTCCTGTTTCTATTAGATAGTCGTTATAGAGTGGTGTGTACATCTCAGAAATGTAAATAATAGCACGTCTGTGGAATCATTCCTGCACAGGTTTACACATATTAATATGTATTTATTTTGAGAAAATGGAAAAATCCCAACCATAAAAAAAAAGTTTTGCATATCTATTGGTTGAAACCTAAACTGTTTTAATATGCTGCCATCTAGTGTTTGCTGGGCCCTTCTGCAATTTAATAAATTAAGAATTTTTAAATTTTTGTTAACTTTAATTCAGTAGCTTTGAATATTTACATGTTAGAATATTTTTTGCAATGAATTTAACTGTAAACTGGTACAAATGCAGTGGTTTCTGTTCTTAATTGGTTAAAAAAAATCTTTATTGGTTACTGTTATGAAAAAGGACATGTGAATGAAGATATTCAGGGCATGGTATATTGTCTCTTGCTTGCTTAGTGATGCACTTGAGAACATTTATTGGATGGCTCAGTAAGCCTGCTGTTTTTCTTCTGAACTGACTACATATCCAGTATCCTGTTCCCATACTTTAATTTTTCTTAAATTATGGCTGCTTTCCTGAGAAATATAAAATGAGAGTTTACCACAGTTGTGTTTTTACTCTCTCTCTGCCCTTTCAGTAATCTTGTTCAGCAGAGAGAGATTCAGCTTTCAAACAGTGGGGACCTAAATTTTTATATTTGTCTAGCCATGGGCTCATCTTGAGTCACATGAGATTTTGCTGGAGTGGCTGTATTATGTGCCTTTTATATTTTCCATTGTGATAGTTCTGTAAGACCACAAAAGTTTTGCTAGCGAGTTTCTCAAGTCTTATGTTGTGGATTCAGATTTCTCTTGATGATATGCTATTTCAGTTTCTTCAGTGGTTCAGTGTCAACTGTTGATCTTTTTAGGCACATTATAGCTCTCCCTCAGTCTTTTATGGTAAAGTGTCAGTAGAGTACATTTTTGGTGCTTTCATGTTCCTGCCTTTAGTTATTTTGGCAGATAACTCTTGTGTGTCCATTTTATGACTGAGAAAGCAACAGGAAAGGCAACCTGTTTGATTCATGGAGACAGGTAGAAAATATCACACCATCTTTTCAAACCCAGGGGCAGATGTAGTTTAAAGCAGACACACCCTTTTCCACAATCCTGCCCGTATTTTTCCTCTGCAGCCCATTTCAATACCAATGAATTTTTTTGATGAACTGACTAAACAGAAATTGTTATTTCTTCATTTTCATTTGGAAGACTAATTCCTGAACTTGACACAGTCTAAAGGAAGAATGAGGTGTTATACCTGAAGGAGGATTGGGAAACTGCCCATTTAACATATTTATTCCCAATGGGGTTAGATGATATATGAACATCTATGGCTGGACTGTAGACTTGAGGTTCTGTCTCCTGAACATTACAGGAAAATTGTAGGCTCTCTACAGAAATTTAATCCAGGTAGAAAATGCTGTTCCTGCGCTCTTTTTTCAACAATGTAAGGTTACATCATGGATGAAAACACATGAAATTTTCAGTATGTATATGCTGGTGCTGCCCTTAAATCTTGTATAACTGCTTTCTTGTTTTGTGCCTCTCTGTTAATTGCATATATCATAGAAAGAGTACACATACCCTTAAGTATTGTACAGGATATCCCACACTTACCTTGTTGGAATGGGATTGTTTGTGTAGCTTATTAATACAGTGATTGAGCAAGAAATGCATAAAGGCCTACCTAGGGAACATAATTTAAATCTCAGAATTGGTCTTATGAAATCACTTTAGATAAACATATAAAACAGCCTTCCCCAGCAAGTTGCCTTGGTCTTTAAACTCCCAGAATTCCTTTCCATCATTCCCAGAGGAAGCCTGATTAGAAATTTAATTCAGCATGTAACTGATCATAAAAGTCAGAACTGCAGTGCCTAGAAGACGTCTTACCTGGAACATGTATTTCTGTTTATTTTCAGAAGACTGGTGATGGGGTTTTCTAACAAGTCATGTTTAGATATGCTGTATTAACTTCCAACCTTTTATTCTAAACCATTGCATGACATAATGAAGGCAATGACTGTAGTTACCATTGTGGTTTCCCTACCCTTTTTACTGTATTTGAATGTACTTTACCTGTGTGGAAAGTCTTGTACATTGCTGAATTGATTGTAAATGCCAATTACACTTACTGATAATGGAAAGTATTGTTACAAGGAAAGTGCATGCCTGTACAGCTTGACTGAGATTTTGTCATCTCACTCCCACATGCTCTTATTTGATCTCAAAGTGGATATATTTTACCTAATTTATCATTTCTTTACACTAGAATATGTTATACAGTAGCCATGCAGCTTTCAGTGGACAAAATTGAACTTTTACATGAAATTAACACAACTATTTTGTGTTAAACAACTAGTTTTTAAAACAACTAGTTTTTAAGGTATTGAAAGTGAGATACATCATGCTCTTTGTTTTTTTTAATAGAAGCAAATTTTCAGAATGTTTTAATACATTTATGAACATAGTTTTACTAGTTGTGCAGTATTCTGTATTTTACTTGAAATAAATCATTTTATATGCAATTTGTTAGTATGATTAGTTTTACAAATAAAATGGAGTGACACTTTGGCTCTGTTCCTTGTTCTCATATATATAAAAGTTTCACTTAAACATTTCACTGGGTGTGTGGGGAAAATAAACATATGAAGATGGAATGTGATAAAATACTGCATTTGTGATTAATGAATCTCTTGATG